GGCACGGCGCGGGAGAGCCGCGCCGGCCACGCCAACCGTCGTAATGCAATGTGTCGTATGAACAGAGAGCGTAGTAGAAACATTAGAGTTTACTTGGCGGCCCGCCCTGTCGGCGGTCGCACGAAGCCTCTCGCTCGTAGAGACCGCCGCCGAGTCCCAGCCCTGAAAACGCCGTGGACCTCCTTCGGCTGTGAAGAGCGCGGCCACATCAAGTCACAGGGCCCGCTCGTCCATGCGACCGGTAAAGGCTGGGTCAAAGGGCACAAGGGACAGTACTACGACGCGCTCCATGTCAAGAACGGAATCGTCAAAATTTGTCTCGTCGAAAGTTTGGGCGGCATCGCGCCGCCGACCAAGAGAATCATCTTCAACTTCGCCAAAGAGGTCGGCAGCCCGAGCGCCGTCGACCGCACCGACTACGGCACAGCCTCCGGCAGCGCCCGGGGCTTTGTCCAGCACCACTCGCAACAGCTCTCGCGCGCCGCCGTCTGTGGCGACTCGCAAAACATCAACAACGCTGCTCGCAACATGCGTCTACAAACAAATGTCGCGCACTCATTCATGACCGGTAACAATTTGTGTCTCGCGCCTTGCGGGGGGGGAGCGGAAAGGAGGAACCTCTTACCAAGAGCATCACTCGCTCAAGAACGAGTGGACCCCCCGGGCCGCAGGAACTTGATCACTATACGCCAGTGTTGCATATCCAGGATATGCAACGGTGGCATAAAGTGAATGATACACCGTCGCAAAACTGCATTCCTGGGTCGTGCGGAGATGCATCCGGTTTGGGTACCGGCGGATAGCAGGTGAACGCTAAGGTGGGTTTCGAACCAGTGACAACGCCCGTCTGGGTTTTTTGCGCCGAGTCGAACTGCGGGATTCGAACTCGAGACCCAATGCAGCCAGCGGTTTTGCGACGGTGTATCATTCACTTTATGCCACCGTTGCATATCCCGGGATATGCAACGGTGGCATAAAGTGAATGATAGGATATGCAACGGTGGCATAAAGTGAATGATACACCGTCGCACCCGTATAGAGCCGTAGCGGCTAACTATGCGGGTGCATCGCCTGTCTCGCTTTGGGGGCGGTCGACGCCGTGCGGGGAGAGCTGGCTGGCCGCCCCCCGGGCGCTGCGGGTACGCTCGCTGGGCGGAGGGGCGCTGGCCGCTGGGCGGACGCGCCCCCTCCCCGAGGGGTGGTGCCTCTCAGAGGCGATGGTCTAGTGTGCTCTGTGTGCAGCGCTGCGCTGGCGTGCGATGCGCGTGTGCGCGTGTGCGTGTTGGAATCGCGCGTGAGTCTGCGTGTGCTGCGCGCGCGTCCGACGCCGGTTGGTCTTCGGCGTCGAGGCCTTGCCGCAGGTAGGTAGGTAGGTAGAAAGGTGAAGAACAGCCAGGCTCGGACTGGACACCAACGCGGTATGGGTGGACGCGAGACAGATGATGACGACACGCACGAACGACACACAGACACAAACAAGCTCACAAGACACACAGCCAGCTGGCTGCCACACACCCTGAGTTGGCGTACACATAACTCAGGGCCACATTCTTCCTGTCGCCCCCCCCAGCACTCCAAGGTGCCAAGAGAAACAAACAAGGGCACAACAAACAACAGACGACAGGAAGCAACGTGCGAGGCTAGAGCAGGCTTGCTCCGCCTCTAGCAATCTCGCCGACCGCAAGGCCGGACTAGACCGTGTGTGGGGTCATGTGAGGTGTCTCTGGTTGCCGCCATGGCGAAGAAAAAGAATTTAGCCGACCTCGGAATTCCGGCGGCATCGACGGGTGCACATGGCTGCCGCGGTCTCCCAGCCTCGTGACTCCTCAAAGCCTGTCCGCCTGGCATCCCTCGAGGGCCAGAGCGCTGGCCTGGCGTCCCTCGAGAATGAGAACGTGGGCCAGCTCCCGCAGCTCCCGATGCTCTCTGGGCGCGACCGCACCATGAGCTTCCAGTCCCTTGCTTCTTTCGCGCCAGACGCTGACGACAGCGCGAGGAGCGCGATCGAGGCGGAGGTCGCGGCTCTCCAGTCGGGACTGCACGCGCGGATCGACGGCTACGTCAGGGTCGGGCGCCACACCGAGTACCGCGTCTTCGTCGAGTGCCGCTCGCCGGTGGAGGCCGGTGGAGAGACGATGACCCAACTCGTGGGCGGCCGGCAGCAGCGCTTCTCCGCGTTCCGCGCGCTGCATGCTTCGCACGTGGCCGCCCTCGGCGTGCGCTT